TTTACTTTTATGTTCGGGTCTTCGTGAAGTTTAGCGCAAGGCCACTTATTTAAAGTGAGCGGAACGTGCCTATTGCTGCATCCTATCTACAAGTCATTCTTAATAAAGCGATGGAATTTCGCGCGCAATGATTCAAAACTGTTGTCTTAACGTCTTAAAAAGCCGCACGGCGGCAGAAATATTTCGGGCGCCAGCGAGGGCAAAAATAACTCTATCCGTCGCGCTCGACCAGAGAAAATCTCGAGGACGCCGGCTGCTGCTGCTAAGCCAGGCTGCATCCTGCTTGGAGGCCTTAAGAACACGCTTTCTTGTCTAGTCAGAGATCTTGAGTGTCGTGGGGAGAAGGCTTTGACATCGCAAAAAAAAGCACAGACCACACGGTTTGCCTGCGTGCATAAGCGCTCCCCTCACGTTGTGGCGCTGTTGGGCTAGGATTAAAGGGAATAGCAAGAGTGAGAGGGGTGGCGGTCTTACGCCGCGTTAGTCACAAAGCCCGAGGACTCCTATTGGTTTGGCGCAGCCTCACAAGCGCTTTTTGTTTTAAAGGTTGGAGCTTGGGTAAAGATTTCTTATACGGAACAGGGTGTAGTATACTATACATAACTACCTACTAAATTCATTATAGTAAGTATGTTCTGTTTCGTTTTTTCATATAATGTTTATACGGCTTTTCCTGCGTACGTTTTCATTAAATTTTTACTAATTTATGTTTATTTTTAGGTTAATCATTTTACTGTAGGTTCACTTTGGATTAGTTTTACTTTAGTTTACTATTTAGATTTATTAATATTTATTTAGTCTATCATTATTATCTTTATCTTTAGTAAACTTGCTTCGATTTTCAGTTTACTTTTTGTTGTTTATTTAGTTCATTATTTAGGTTTAGTTTGGTTGAGATTACTTTTAATTTTAGTTGGCTCAGTTTACTTAAGTTAATATTAGTTAAGCTTATTTTTATTAGCGACATGCAGTTGCTTTTTGGCTTAAAAATGGGGAGGAAAACCTATCTTCAATGGTTTTATTTTAACCTTAAGAATCGGTTGCGTTGGTTGTACTTCTCATTGCAGTTATCACGCGCTTCTCGTTGCCAAAGATTAGGTTATTTAACTAATTATTGCTACTATTTTCTACTTTTACTTGCTTAACTATTTTAGTTACTTTTTCTTTCGCCTGATATGCCCCAACCATGAAACCCCTCTTACCAGCGCTCCCGTAAGATAGAAACCTGGGGCTTCTTTATATTCAGCTGGTCCATATGAAGAATCTTTGCCGCAGCTTTGAGGGTTAACGGCTAACCGTCATCTGGGCTGACAGTTCGGTTGCAACGGATGATTCTTAATACACTGGGACCTCGATAAACGAGTTAGATCCGTTCTAGCACCGAGCTCGTCGTGTGAAGCGCTCACCTTACGAAATATAGCCAATCAAACTGCACCATTTCACTGACTGACTGCGTGCGACCGAGGACCCACGCCCTAGGAGCAAGACTCAACGGCATACAAATGCATACACACGTACTGACAACTCGTTGATTAAGTAATATGTCGTCAATCAAAACACATTATCTGCGAGTAGCTCGCTCGTTA